TTTGTGAATAAAAATTCAAAATGGAAAACAAGCATAATATGAGAGGCCTGGAAACGTGACTAATGAACAGAGAAAATGTTATTTTAGTGCCAGGACTACCTGCATTGCTTATTCTGAACCCTATTTTGAAACTGACCTTTCTTGAATTTTGTGTGAACTTACTCAAATTAGTAATTTCTGATCACTTTATTGGGTAGTTGAAATAGACAAATGACCAGTTTCTTGTACTCAATCGATAGAATAAAAGGAGTACTAGTGAAATAGCTATGAGTTTGGTTGACTGGAATAATGGAATTGGCCCAAAATAGGGCTCAAAGTGGGTAAAACTGGCAATGCATAAATATCACCGAGGCCACTAACTTTGCGAGAGCACAATTCCGAAAATTTTCCATCAAGCTTTGTACTTTTGGTTTTATTACCTTTGGAAAAAATTTATCATTTCATAAATTTTTTTTTTTTTTTTAAATAATTCGACCCTGGGAGAAGTTTGTGAGAGGGGGGTCGTGACACTCAAGGGGTTAAAGATTCCACTCAAGGTTGTGACGTGGTACTGGAAGTTACAAGTTAAAAGTTTGAAAAGTTTAGTCTATGTAAATACGGAAAAACAGAGTTCACAGATGGCGTATCTACAATGAAAGAAAAAAAACATGACTTCATCAACTTAAGTCAACAGAGAAAGGTGGTGTGCCAGCTTCCATTGCATCACTCATCAGGAGAGGTACTTCCTGTGGCCAATGCCAACATTAAACAGGCAAACAAATGTACCATACTACATATACTGAACAAATGGTATAAAATATTTTGCCTATTATTAACCCTTAAACGGTCCAAGCATATATATAGGTTGACTCACGAAATCGTAATGACACGATTGCAAACAAACCATACCATGGGCGGGGATAAAACCCGCGATCAGAGTCTCAAAACTCAAGTGGCTAACGCGACAGTCTGGAGTTTTGAGACTCTGATCGCGGGTTCTATCCCCACCCGTGGTATGGTTTATATATATACGTTCTCTTGCGTAGCGCCCCAAACGTATATATACGTTTCATTTGACATTCATTCAACATTGCCACGATAGGCCTGAGTCGCCTAGACATGAGAGAATGGGTGTGCGCACGCAAGTGTACGCCATATGAAAAAAATTGGGGACGCCTGGGTAACACATGCTCTTTTTTCCTATAAAAAAAAACTAATTTTTTTTCCTCTCAAAATATTCGGGGTGCTACACGAGAGAACGTATATATATGTTTGGACCATTTAAGGGTTAAAAGACTCGGACTCCTGTTCTAGAGATGTCTTGAGAAAGTGACGTGTGGTGCCCTGGTAATGGTCATAGTCAGCATAGGTTCAAATCCTTTGTGGACACAATATAGGTACATACATATAATATATTTAAAAAAACAATTTGGTTAATACATTACATCAATTATATTCTATACAGCAGTTTTCTATTGTCTTTGCTCGGCTGGGTTTTACATGTACACATTACAGGCAAAAAGAAAAAACAACTAGTTTCTAAAATATGGAGTCTGCTCTAACTCTCAAAGGAAATTCAATAAATTGGGACATTCAATAATAGTCAATAATATAATCAACCTATAGTAGAAATAGTCACCCTATAACGAGTACTAAATCTTCCGTGTCAAACGCTTCTGACAACCTCAAATATAATTACAGTAGTCACTTTAGTATTACTTTTTACACCAACTTATTCATTTAAACAAAAATAAATTGGTAGGGTGGAGGGTGAAGTTCTATTGGTGGGTAAATGTCAGGTACAGCATCTGGTGCCATTTGTATAAGACATATTATAACCATAAATGCATATTCACTACATTCTTAACTAATAAACTTGTGTTTAATTTTCATATACATATATAATGACTTCTCTGTACATAAGAAAATGCAGTATCACAGTAGTAAACTCAAGTTCACAACTTTACTTCAGGTTTGCTCAGTAGTGAGGCTTCACAGTTTGAAGAGTATTCATTGCAATCTTAGTCGAAACATCCAGGTGTCAGTGAGAGTCAGCATGAGAATGTGTTCACACTGGGTAGGAGAGGAAGGGGTGTTTGTGTGTGTACTCACCTAGATGTGGTTGCAGGGGTCGAGTCACAGCTCTTGGCCCTGTCTCATCAGTGTGTGTGTGTGTGTGTGTGTGTGTGTGTGTGTGTGTGTGTGTGTGTACTCACTTGTGGTTGCAGGGGTTGAGACTCAGCTCCTGGCCCTGCCTCTTCACTGATCGCTACTAGGTCCTCTCTCTCTCTCTCTGCTTCCTGAGCTTTGTCATACCTCGTCTTAAAACTATGTATGGTTCCTGCCTCCACTACGTCAGTTGCTAGGCTATTCCACTTCCTGACGACTCTATGACTGAAGAAATACTTCCTAACATCCCTGTGACTCGTCTGAGTCTTCAGCTTCCAATTGTGACCACTTGTTTCTGTGTCCCTTCTCTGGAACATCCTCTGTCCACCGTGTGTGTGTGATATGTGTGTGTGTGTGTGTGTGTGTGTGTGTGTGTGTGTGTGTGTGTGTGTGTGTGGTGTGTGTGTGTGTGTGTGCGTGTGTGTACGTGCATGTGCGCGCGTGTGTGCATGTGTGTGCGTGAGCGTGTGCGTGAGCGTGTGCGTGAGCGTGTGCGTGAGCATGTGTGTGTGCATGTGCATGTGCGTGTGCATGCGTGTGTGTGCGCATGTGCGTGTGCACACGTGTGTGCGCGTGCATTCTTTCTTCTTTCAATGCACCGTCCACATCCCACCGAGGCAGGGTGGCCGGAAAAGAAAAACAAAAGTTTCTTTTTTTAAATTTAGTAATTTATACAGGAAAAGGGGTTACTAGCCCCTTGCTCCCAGCATTTTAGTCGTCTCGTACAACACGCATGGCTTACGGAGGAAGAATTCTGCTCCCCTTCCCCATGGAGATAAGAGGAAATAAACAAGAATAAGAATTAGAAAGAAAATAGAAGAAAACCCAGAGGGGTGTGTATATATATCCTTGTACATATATGTGTAGTGTGACCTAAGTGTAAGTAGAAGTAGGAAGACGTACCTGAAATCTTGCATGTTTATGAGACAGAAAAAAGGACACCAGCAATCCTACCATCATGTAAAACAATTACAGGCTTTTGTTTTACACTTACTTGGGCCACCCTGCCTTGGTGGGATACGGCCAGTTTGTTGAAAAAAAAAAAAAATTGTGTTTGGGTGAAGATGTGTGTTGTGTGCGAGTGTTGAGTATGTGCTGTGTGCTCACCTAATTTTGGTTGCAGGAGGTAGGTGTGTGTGTGTGTGTGTGTGTGTGTGTGTGTGTGTGTGTGTGTGTGTGTGTGTGTGTGAACGAACACATGTATATGTGTGTGCGCGCGCGTGAGTATGTGTGTGTGTGTGTGTGTGCATGTATATCTGCGTGTGTACTCACCTAATTCTGGTTGCAGGGGTCAAGACTCAGTTCCTGGCCCCGTCTCTTCACTGAACACTACTAGGTCCTCTCCCCGCTCCATGAGCTTTACCAAACCTCATTTTAAAGCTATGTATGTTCTTGTCTCCACTACATCACTTGCTAGACTTTTCCACTTCCTGACAACTCTATGACTGAAGAATTACTTCCTAACATCCCTTTGATTCATCTGAGTCTTCAACTTCCAAGTGTGACCCCTTGTTTTTGTGTCCCCTCTCTGGAACATCCTGTCTCTGTCCACCTTGTCTATTACACGCAGTATTTTGTATGTCGTTATCATGTCTCCTCTAACCCTCCTGTCCTCCGGTGTCGTCAGGCCAATTTCCCTTAGCCTTTCTTCGTAGGACATTCCCCTTAGCTCTGGAACTAACATTGTCGAAAACCTTTGCACTTTCTCTAATTTCTTGACGTGCTTGACCCAGTGTGGATTCCAATCTGGTGCTGCATATCAGTGTGTGTGTGTGCGCATATGTATGTGTGTGTGTATGTGTGTGTGTATGTGTGTGTGTGTGTATGTGTGTGTGTGTGTGTGTGTGTGTGTGTGTGTGTGTGTGTGTGTGTGTGTGTGTGTGTGTGTGTGTGTGTGTGTGTGTGTGTGTGCATGCATGTATATCTGTGCATTTGTTTGTGTGTGTGTGTACATACTCTCCTAATTGTGGTTACAGGGGTCGAGTCCCGCCTCTTCACTGATCGCTACTAGGTCCTCTCTCTCTCTCTCTTTCTCTGCTCCCTGAGCTTTGTCATACCTTGTCTTAAAGCTATGTATGGTTCCTGCCTCCATTACATCACTTCCTAGACTATTCCACTTCCTGATAACTCTATGACTGAAGAAATACTTCCTAACATCCGTGTGGCTCGTCTGAGTCTTCAGTTTCCTATGGTGACCTCTTGTTTCTGTGTCCCCTCTCTGGAGCATCCTGTCTCTGTCCACCTTATCTATTCCACACAGTATTTTGTATGTCGTTATCATGTCTCCCCTGACCATCCTGTCTTCCAGTGCAGTCAGGCCAATTTCCCTTAACCTTTCTTCATAGGACATTTCCCTTAGCTCTGGAACTAACCTTGTTGCAAACCTTTGCACTTTCTCTAATTTCTTGATGTGCTTGACCAGGTGTGGCTTCCAAACTGGTGCTGCATACTCCAGTATGGGCCTGCCACACAGTGTACAGTGTCTTGAACGATTCCTTACTAAGGTATCAGAACGCTATTCTCAGGTTTGCCAGCCGCCCATATACTGCAGCAGTTATCTGGCTGATGTGTGTGTGTGTGTGTGTGTGTGTGTGTGTGTGTGTGTGTGTGTGTGTGTGTGTGTTGTGTGTTGTTTGGTGTGAGTGGGGAGCGAGTGGGAGTGAAGTGTATGTGTTGATGTGTGTGAATGTGTGTGAATGTGTGTGAATGTGTGTGTGTGTGTGTGTGTGTGTGTGTGTGTGTGTGTGTGTGTGTGTGTGTGTGTGTGTGTGTGTGTGTGTGTGTGTGTGTGTGTGTGTGATGTGTGTGAATGTTGTGTGTGGTGTGTGTGTGTGTGTGTGTGTGTGGTGTGTGTGTGTGTGTGTGTGTGTGTGTGTGTGTGTGTGTGTGTGTGTGTGTGTGTGTGTGTGTACTCACCTAGCTGAGGTTGCAGGGGTCGAGTCCAAGCTCCTGGCCCCCGCCTCTTCACTGGTCGCCACTAGGTCACTCTCCGCGAACCATGAGCTTTATCGTACCTCTGCTTAAAGCTATGTATGGATCCTGCCTCCACTACATCTCTTCTCAAACTATTCCACTTCCTGACTACTCTGTGGCTGAAGAAATACTTCCTAACATCCCTGTGATTCATCTGTGTCTTCAGCTTCCAACTGTGTCCCCTTGTTGCTGTGTCCAGTCTCTGGAACATCCTGTCTTTGTCCATCTTGTCAATTCCTCTCAGTATTTTGTAAGTCGTTATCATGTCCCCCCATCTCTCCTGTCCTCCAGTGTCGTCAGGTTGATTTCCCTTAACTTTTCCTCGTAGGACATACCTCTTAGCTCTGGGATTAGTCTTGTGGCAAACCTTTGCACTTTCTCTAGTTTCTTTACATGGTTGGCTAGGTGTGGGTTCCAAACTGGTGCCGCATACTCCAATATGGGCCTAACGTACACGGTGTACAGAGTCCTGAACGACTCCTTATTAAGATGTCGGAATGCTGTTCTGAGGTTTGCCAGGCGCCCATATGCTGCAGCAGTTATTTGATTGATGTGTGCTTCAGGAGATGTGCCTGGTGTTATACTCACCCCAAGATCTTTTTCCTTGAGTGAGGTTTGTAGTCTCTGGCCCCCTAGACTGTACTCCGTCTGCGGTCTTCTTTGCCCTTCCCCAATCTTCATGACTGCACTTGGTGGGATTGAACTCCAGGAGCCAATGTGTGTGTGTGTGTGCATGTGCATATCTGTGTGTGTATGTGCATATCTGTGTGTGTGTGTGTGCGCACCTGTGTGTGCGTGTGCATATCTGTGTGTGCATGTGCATATCTGTGTGTGTGTGTGTGCGCATATCTGTGTGTTAGTTAGTTACCATTTTGTCCTAGGCACATGTCGATTAGACACTAGGCCTGTTGTGTATGTGTGTGTGCATATCTGTGTGTGTGTGTATATCTCTATGTGCATGTGTATATCTGTGTGCATGTGTATATCTGTGGGTGTGCGTGTGTATATCTGTGGGTGTGCCTGTGTATATCTGTGGGTGTGTGCACATGTATATGTGTGAGTGTGTATATCTGTGTGCGTGTGTATATCTGTGTGCGTGTGTATATCTGTGTGGGTGCATGTGCACGTGTGTGTGTGTGTGTGGGTGTGCATGCACACATGTGGGTAATATACCATCTTATTTTAATATACCACTACTGCTGAGATAAACTGACAAATAATTTTAAACAACTCTCATAGCTTGTAATAGTGTGTTTAAACAGGACTTCTGTACACTGTCTAATATTAGCAAGACTAAACATTAGTTACTATGTAGGAACACAAGTAGTGTATCATGAGATCAAAATCAAATATAGAAAATCACTATCTTGTAACCAATATTCAAAATCATGATCTTTGATTGTTCAATACTCACAATATATAAATGTTTATTTATACTTTATGACTGAAGCACCATTATGGAAATACAGTAATCAATGAGCCTCTTTCTAGTGTATAAAATTTACATACTTGAAACTGAGAAATCCAAATGGTAGTACAACAACATGCTACCTCACACCAATGTAGCAGAGCGCTTATGAGTGACTGTAGCAGGAACTGCCTGGTGCAGAGGAGCAGCATCCCAAGATCCTCCCACAGGATCATCAGCTTCTCCTGGAGCAGGTGATCCCTTCATGACTTCCAAGGGCTGGCAAGTAAGAGGAGTGAGGGGCTGATAAACTCCCTTCTGTTGAGGGGCAGGAGCAGAGTGATGAGCTACCATGTTGGGTGATGGAGGGAGCAGTTTGCTGTTACTGACTAACACCTGTGCTCTAGGAGGTAGCACGGGAGAGAGTGGTGTATCACCACCACTACTTACACTGCTTACTGATCCACTGGTAGTGCCTGTGCTGCTTCCATTTATGCCTCCCAAATTACTGGAGCTCTGACGTCTGTACTTTGTACTGTATTTGTAGAAGTCGGACATTTCAAAAGGCTTTGTAACTTCTCTCGAGGGCTGATAAGTTCCTGCAGAGATAATCATATGATTACGAGGTGATTCATAGGGAACAGAGGCCTGAGAGGTATCAGCTGAATCAGAGCGAGATTGGAAGACACTGCCTGTGCTACTGCTAGTGCTACTTATACTACTACCACTTAAGTTTAAGTTACACTGGCTAGCAGATATATTACCATTACTCTGACAGGAATCATTCATATCAATCATACTTGTACTGTTTTTGGTTCTGCGTCCTGAAGCTGGCGAATCTAATGAAGTCTCATACCATTCTTTTCCTCTCTCCTTTTTCATTCTTGCTGCCTCTGCTAGAGATATTAATGGTTCTTCAACCATAGAACTTAGAGAGGTATTTACAGAAGAACTGTGACTACTGTGTGGCTCTGTCTTTGTACTAGTAACTTTGAGTGGAGGTATTTCACTACTAGATCTGCTGACCCTATGAGATGGTAAATCAGAAATACCTGGTCTTAGGATATGATGATCCACTGCATTACAATTCACTGCAGAACGAAGAGATGGAGGAGTTTCGTGGTGCATACCATTGGTAGGACGTAAAGGTAACTCAGTGGAAGAACGAAGGGGAGGTATATTTTCTTGGTCGTGATTAGGCTCTGACACAAAGGTAGTTTCCATATAACTCCTTCCACTGGATGTTCTCACCAGTCTATGTACTGTGCTACTCTGAGATCTCTGAACGGCACCATGATTTGACCCACGATGATGAACAGGTGGTGCAGGGAGGCCAGGGCCACTCTTGCTACGATGTCGATAACTTTGCAAGTTTCCATGGGACCCTCCTTGGTGTCTGTACTGTACTGGTCCATCCACAGTATCTCCTCCTCCTCCTCCTCCTCCTGACCTTTCACTGGATGCTGTCTCAAAACTACAGTTGGCTGTGGTGGGATGGGAGTCACTAGTGGTATCCATAGCTTCCTGGTGAAGCTCTGGAGTGTGGAAGTAGTGATTGTGGTAATGTGGGTGGTGAGGGTAAGTTCCTGTATGGCTTGGGTGTAAGTGGTGAGATGAGACTGGGTGGTGGTGATTGTGGTGTACATTATAGTGGGGAGACTGTTGGGTAATGCTTGGGGAGGGTAGAGAATCAAGGTGTTCCATGCTGCGTGACTCCAGCCTCCCACTGTTGGCGCGCCGACGGTCCAAACTGCCGTACCTGAGGAGTGGACCGTGTGTCATGCAAGGTAGTGTGCTCAATAGCTCAACTATATACATAACTGCTATGAAACATCACTTTAGTAGCTCTAGGTCAATATTTTTCTCTCATGAGTAAGTAGATGAGTAATAGCAAGAACCATTATTTCCCCATCTACCTACGAGAAAATATAACCTAATAAATGCTAAAGTTTTGCGTCTCATAACATCTAATGATCTAGTAACAACTATCATGCATTTTAAAAATATTCTTCAGTGGTATTTAGCTAACAAAATTAAAATGTAATACTTAGCAAATTATACATAATCTACAACATAATGAAGAAATCTTGTTTCATTGTTATAAAGCATTTCTCAATGATAAGCATTAAATAAGACGTGCAAGCTCATTTAGGCTGTATAAGTGAGTCTCATACTATCAACCAAACTCTCTTTACATTATTAAAGAAAGTTTGGCTAATGGTACTGAATCACTTACACCATACTTGTGCTTTAGTGAGACCATAACTGCTCAAATATAGGACACGATTTCTTCAAATAAATATGAACGCTTATATTAATACCAATTTATATAAAAATTATTTACTTTGTTGAAAGTGCATTTTCATAAAATTTTAAAGAAACATAAATAAAGCAAAAATTAAATTATATAAATGATTAATAACACAGAATGACCATGCCAGAAGTACATAACATAGCAGGGAATGGTTTCCAATGTCTAAACAGTAAAAAAGAGTCATGCTACAAAAAGATAAAGCAGTGTATCATCCGCACCTATCCTGGGAATCATTTCTCTGTCTGTAAGGTTGGTGATGGTTATGGTGTTGGGGAGTGTTGTTGATAAGGGTGGAAGTGTCGAGGTCATCCACACTATGACAAGCAAGGGAGGTGCGTTGTTGTGGGATATTGTAGAGACCGCCAGGAGTCTCAACGATGCCAGGGTCAGGTGCCCCATATGTCCCACTCGTGGTTCGTGGGTGTGGGATCCGACCCTCATCCGCCGGGACTGACTGTGATCGCGTGGAGAGGGTCGGATACTGCTGGCTTCGATACTGACTCCTGGTGTAGACGGAGCTAGGGATGTAGCCACTGGAAATTCAACCAAATATCATTTAAGTATCTTCATAAAACCACAAACCTAAGTTAAATTTAGTTATTAGATCATTAACACTAATCTCAATGTAGTAATATATTCTACATGTCTAAACTTCAGCATGGCTTTGGTTTTATTTTAGAATATCAATCTACTCTGGGCAAGTCCTGGACTTTCTTGCCAAAGCAGCACAGTGAGATTTTCTTGCAACACCTCCACAATAGTCTGTCTAAATAAACCTTAATTTTTGATGTTCAATAACAACTAAATTTTGGCCAACCTTAGATAGATAGATAGACAGATAGATAGAGAGATAGATAGATAGAGATAGATAGATAGATAGATAGATAGATAGAGAGATAGATAGATAGATAGACAGATAGACAGACAGACAGACATACATCATCTTCTTTCAACGTACCAGCCGTATCCCACCGAGGTGGGGTGGCCCAAAAGGAAAAACGAAAGTTTCTCCTTTCAAATTTAGTAATATGTACAGGAGAAGGGGTTACTAGCCCCTTGCTCCCGGTATTTTAGTCGCCTCTTACAACATGCATGGCTTACGGAGGAAGAATTCTGTTCCACTTCCCCATGGAGGAGACACACATATACATATATAATTTATTATTGGTAGCAGGTTGGTAAACAGCAACCACCCAGGGAGGTACTACCATCCTGCCAAATGAGCATGAAATGGAAACCTGTAATTGTTTTACACATTGGTAGGATTACTGGTGTCATTTCTTTCTCTCATAAACATGCAGGATAACAGGTACATCTTGCTACTTCTATTTACATTTAGGTCACACTACACATGTATGTGGACATGCATGTATACACACTCATCCGAGTTTTCCTTTATTTTCTTAATAGTTCTTCTTGCTCATTTTCCTATCATCTCCATGGGGATGTGGAAAAGAATTCTGTAAGCCATGTGTGTTGCAAAAGGTAACTAAAATGCAGGAGGAAGGGGGCTAGTAACTCTTTTTGAATAAGTTACTAAATGTAAAAACAAGGAAAGAGCTTTCATTTCTTCTTTATCAGGTCACCCTGCCTCAGTGGCAAACGACCAGTGTGGTTAAAAAAAAAAATGGGTTCCTAGTGTTTCCATGTATGAACAAGCTGTTTATAACACCGAACCTATTGTCCCATGGAAAGTACAATTACTGCAAAGGATCATTATGCATCATGAATATTTATAAATGTAGACTGGCATTAATAAAAAAAATATATATATATGTTAACAAGTCTTTTAGACCTTGGTCATAAGTGTCAATCATCAAAACTCGAGGACCCTGTGTATACATGCACAAACCTGTGGGGTCTGTTGGGACTGGCCGATCTTGAGCAAACAGATCCATTTGGCTGTTTATGAGGACTTGTTGGTGCCGAATGAACTCCAGTAGATGCTATACTGTGACCACCAGGTGACAGATCCCGTCTTGCTCGTGCTCTCACTGGGGTTGATGGAAGCAGAGGTGAACGTGGTGACACAGGTGGATGGGAAGATGGTGCAGGAGAAAGACTTACACCCTCAGCATTTAAAGCATCAAGGTGAGAGTCACGTAAGCTGTCCCGAGGAGAGTTTTGACTGCTGCTGACTGTTGTATTGTTTACGTTTGTGCTCTCATCATAACTGCCCACACCTGAAAGAACAGATATTTTACCTCATCTTAGGAATGAATGTTATTTCCTTCTCAAGTATCATTCCTAAATCCTAAATTTATCTATAGTCTTCACTATTCCAATTCTCAAGTTTTGTTACAATAGTATTTCTAAAATACAGTACTGTAAATACTTATAAAATGCAAGAATGGTACTGGACAATACTTTAAGTTCTTCAAAACTGTGACCTAAAACTGTTGTAAGTGTTCACAAATGCTTAATAATTACACAGAATGCGAGTCCCGGTAGCTCGATCGCTAGCGCACTCAGTTATTACACTGAGGTCCAGAGATTGAATCTCTGGTACAGCTGGAAAACATCAGGGATGTGTTTCCATAAGACACTTGCTGTCCCTGTTCACCCATCAGTATCAAATGGGTACCTGGGTGATAGTCGACTGGTGTGGGTCGCATCCTGGGACAAAACTGACCTAATTTGCCCAAAATGCTCAGCATAATAAGCGCTTTTTATATAGTAGTATGTCACTGATGTCAGCTAGGCCTGCATACCTTGCATGTGTACTTGTAGAAATAAAGATATTATTATTATAAATCACATTACATAAGTATTCAAGTACCTCCTCATCAGTGTAGCACAAGTTGCTTTACAAAAAAACAATGAAATCACTTTGTGAGGAATAACTGTTGCCAAATTGGTGCAGTTAAATAGAAAAATAATTTACTCCCAGTAAACCTACTTACACCACACCTTGCACATAAGCTCTTAGCATGACTGCTCATCACCGATTTAAAAAAAAATAAAAACACTTCCATTTTCCCGTCAAGTCTCTACCTGCATTATCCTAACATGTATTTTGTGGGCAGTACAAGAATCATACAATGTAATAACAATGTAAAGTTGCCTTTTCTCAGGTGCCCTTTTTATTTTGTTCACAATGCTAAACAAAGTTTGTGTTGTCTCCTCCCTATTTATACTACCGGTCCATAATACTAAACAAGGTTTAAGTTATTTCAGTCTTATTCCATTATACTATACTTTAACATCCCCTCAAAATATATTATTTAATCTTTAAAATAAGACTTATTTCATTCTCTCCTTTCCCCCTCCTTCCCTCTCTCCCTGTCTTTCAACACTTCCCATCCCTCATACCTCTATCATAAATAGCACATACTTAACCTACACGAGCAAGTTCTGCATTTACGAATCCTCCTTTTCATAAGTTTCGAATTATACCTTACTGCCCAAAACCTACAAGGCCAGTTTATGTATTATATGCCAAACATCATTTTTCCAAGCTTCAGATTTTCTAGTGCTTATAAAAGAAGTTGGTCACAGGTCTTGGGGGTGAAGGCATCTCAATACAACTTATGCTGAAATGGCACTTAATTACAACATTACAACCTATTAGATCACAATTTTACTGTATACAGCACTACTAACTTAATGTCACATTACAGTTTCTCTGCAAATGTGATAAAAATGTCTACCTCAAAGTGCTATGCTAACTTTACCCAACTCCAAAAAGCTCTCAAGAAGACAGCACTATCTTCAAATATGAGAGAGACTTAACCCTTGAACTGTCCAAATGTAGATCTATGTTCGCTCGCATAGCACTCCAAACGTAGATCTACATTTGATTTTACATGCTTTATGTAAAAAAATGTAGATCTACGTTCGGAGCGTTAAGCGAGCGAACGTAGATCTACGTTTGGACAATTTAAGGGTTAATATCCTGAGATCAGTAAGGAAGTATCTAATACTGGACACTAGTACAGGATTAAACTTTCAGCAAAGTGTGCAATAAGTGCCAAAGAGAAAAAAGTACCAGTACTGATAAACTAGTTTCAATTAACATTGAATACCTGGTTCATATGACCCTCAAGTTGACACAACCCTTAAAACCCAACACCACCAACCCTGTCCTCAATTTACAAACTGCAGGAATTAACCTACATTTCTTTTATAGATTTCAATTAATTTTCCCTCTGTTTCTTTTAATAATATTTTTTGACTGCCACATAAGATATTTTTTCTTTACAGTGCATCTTATATGATGTAAAATACAGTAAAATTTGTATCAAGGGCAAAACACTTGTCGTTTCACCAGAGCAGGTTGAGCTGTGACTCGACCCTTGCAACCACAAATGGATGAGTACATTACTTTGACACTGAAGTACACACCACAATCAGAGTTGTGTTAAACAATGACCCATTTGGTACACAACATTACTCTCACTTATTTAAGTGCTGAAAATAGACTGTGAACTCAATGGCAAAAATATTGATGGTCAACACTTTTTTAAATGAGTGTGGTCCCAAGAATGCCAGTTTTAAGCTGACCCTACTCGACCATTTTCTCATTTAAATGTAAATTCATTGTGTCCATAAACAAAACTCATGAATAAAGTCCTTACCCTCGCTGTCCGACACAGGTCGAGGTTTTTTCTTCTGTTTTGGCATACCACTTGCTGTTGCTGCCTGCTTAGATTTGGCAGCTTTTAGTTTATGTTCCAGGTCTTTTAATCGCTGAGCAGATTGCTGGTATGTCATTTTGCGCTGTTTTCTAACTCCTTTCCTTGCTGACGTTTCATTTGCTAATCTTAAAGCGGCACTCGTAATTTTACCTTGAATTTCGTACTCTAATTCCAAGGCTGCTACAGTTTCCTCCTGTGTAGTAGTTACAATGTACTGAATACCAATCAAAAATTATAAAGACACAAAGATATCAGAATATGACTCACGAAATCGTAATGACACGATTGCAAACAAACCATACCACGGACGGGGATAGAACCTGCGATCAGAGAGTCTGAAAAACTCCATGGTCTGGAGTTTTGAGACTCTCTGATCGCGGGTTCTATCCCCGTCCATGGTATGGTTTATATCAGAATATACTTTACAGTGAATATTAATAAATTCACATAAAATTATTTATTCCATCTTTTTTCTGTATACAGCCCTATATTCTGCCAATAAATAAGCCATTAAAAATTTCTAGCAGATTTTGGTCTTTGCAAGTGCTGTAAAAGTTATCTGTACCTGTTTGTTAATGATTTTGTTAATAAGATTTTCACTAAGCGTAAACGATGTACCAACTCTCTTGCGCACAGTAGGCGGAGGCTGCCCTGGCATTAGAGGGTACTCGGGAGGCAACTCTCCTGTTAACTCTCCTTCACGCAGACATAATAACCTCAGCTCCTCCTCCTTTTCTTTGATCTTCTCCTGGAGTGCATCTCGACGCTGCTTAAGAGCACTCTGCATCTCCATCCTGGCTTGGTGGAGGCTCTCAGTGCTGGCACTATCTTCTGATGAAACATTATAAAAAAGTAAGATCAAATATGCATGAATAAATTTCAGTAAGATATTGGCCTCCTGATTTTGAACAAGCTGAATCAAGTAAGGAAAAATGCCAGGCAATGTAGTACAGTGTATGTATTATATTTCAACAATTTAAATTTTACATTTACCTGCAAGAGAATTGTTGACCAAGGATGAGTGTGATCCAGATCTAGAGAGGTTTGATGATGAGGAATGAGTGGAGAGCGAGACACAGCTGCGAGATAATTCCACGGCTAGCTCTGGGAGTTCCCGAACCCCACTTGCCTCACTCTGTAAAGCATTTATTAATACAATTTAGCCAACAAAGACATTAAAAACAAATGATCCTACAAGAGTTTAGATTTATAAACAGCTACAAAATCTTAAATTTCACAATTTTATAAACAACACTAACAGAGCAGAATTTCTGTGGTCAATGCTAGTTCTTCACTTTAACTATGTATTACAAAATGACTTACGAAATTATAATGACACGATTGCAAAAAACCATACCACGGGTGGGGTTAGAACCCACAATCAGAGAGTCTCAAAACTCCAGACCGTCGCGTTAGCCACTGGGCCAGCTAGCCTCAATAAGATTCATCCAACTAGGTATATTTATGGTGTATAAATATACCTAGCTGGATGAATCTTATTGTGGCTAGCTGGCCCAGTGGCTAACGGGACAGTCTGGAGTTTTGAGACTCTGGTCGTGGGTTCTAACCCCGCCAGTGGTATGATTTTTGTATTACAAATTTAGATGACAATTTCATACATTTTGAAAAGCCCCTGGCTATGCTGAGCATTTTGAGCTAACTAAAACAAATTTAAAACAACTTAGCATTACATATTATTATTTTTATTTTTTTATTATCACACCGGCCGATTCCCACCAAGGCAGGGTGGCCCGAAAAAGAAAAACTTTCACCATCATTCACTCCATCACTGTCTTGCCAGAAGGGTGCTTTACACTACAGTTTTTAAACTGCAACATTAACACCCCTCCTTCAGAGTGCAGGCACTGTACTTCCCATCTCCAGGACTCAAGTCCGGCCTGCCGGTTTCCCTGAATCCCTTCATAAATGTTACTTTGCTCACACTCCAACAGCACGTCAAGTATTAAAAACCATTTGTCTCCATTCACTCCTATCAAACACGCTCACGCATGCCTGCTGGAAGTCCAAGCCCCTCGCACACAAAACCTCCTTTACCCCCTCCCTCCAACCCTTCCTAGGCCGACCCCTACCCCGCCTTCCTTCCACTACAGACTGATACACTCTTGAAGTCATTCTGTTTCGCTCCATTCTCTCTACATGTCCGAACCACCTCAACAACCCTTCCTCAGCCCTCTGGACAACAGTTTTGTAATCCCGCACCTCCTCCTAACTTCCAAACTACGAATTCTCTGCATTATATTCACACCACACATTGCCCTCAGACATGACATCTCCACTGCCTCCAGCCTTCTCCTCGCTGCAACATTCATCACCCACGCTTCACACCCATATAAGAGCGTTGGTAAAACTATACTCTCATACATTCCCCTCTTTGCCTCCAAGGACAAAGTTCTTTGTCTCCACAGACTCCTAAGTGCACCACTCACTCTTTTTCCTCATCAATTCTATGATTCACCTCATCTTTCATAGACCCATCCGCTGACACGTCCACTCCCAAATATCTGAATACGTTCACCTCCTCCATACTCTCTCCCTCCAATTGATATTCAATCTTTCATCACCTAATCTTTTTGTTATCCTCATAACCTTACTCTTTCCTGTATTCACCTTTAATTTTCTTCTTTTGCACACCCTACCAATTCATCCACCAATCTCTGCAACTTCTCTTCAGAATCTCCAAGAGCACAGTGTCATCAGCAAAGAGCAGCTGTGACAACTCCCACTTTGTGTGTGATTCTTTATCTTTTAACTCCACGCCTCTTGCCAAGACCCTCGCATTTACTTCTCTTACAACCCCATCTATAAATATATTAAACAACCACGGTGACATCACACATCCTTGTCTAAGGCCTACTTTTACTGGGAAAAAATTTCCCTCTTTCCTACATACTCTAACTTGAGCCTCACTATCCTCGTAAAAACTCTTCACTGCTTTCAGTAACCTACCTCCTACACCATACACTTGCAACATCTGCCACATTGCCCCCCAAATCCACCCTGTCTACGCCTTTCCAAATCCATAAATGCCACAAAGACCTCTTTAGCCTTATCTAAATACTGTTCACTTATATGTTTCACTGTAAACACCTGGTCCAACACCCCCTACCTTTCCTAAAGCCTCCTTGTTCATCTGCTATCCTATTCTCCGTCTTACTCTTAATTCTTTCAATTATAACTCTACCATACACTTTACCAGGTACACTCAACAGACTTATCCCCCTATAATTTTTGCACTCTCTTTTTATCCCCTTTGCCTTTATACAAAGGAACTATGCATGCTCTCTGCCAATCCCTAGTACCTTACCCTCTTCCATACATTTATTAAATAATTGCACCAACCACTCCAAAACTATATCCCCACCTGCTTTTAACATTTCTATCTTTATCCCATCAATCCCGGCTGCCTTACCCCCTTTCATTTTACCTACTGCCTCACGAACTTCCCCCACACTCACAACTGGCTCTTCCTCACTCCTACAAGATGTTATTCCTCCTTGCCCTATACACGAAATCACAGCTTCCCTATCTTCATCAACATTTAACAATTCCTCAAAATATTCCTTCCATCTTCCCAATACCTCTAACTCTCCATTTAATAACTCTCCTCTCCTATTTTTAACTGACAAATCAATTTGTTCTCTAGGCTTTCTTAACTTGTTAATCTCACTCCAAAACTTTTTCTTATTTTCAACAAAATTTGTTGATAACATCTCACCCACTCTCTCATTTGCTCTCTTTTTACATTGCTTCACCACTCTCTTAACCTCTCTCTTTTTCTCCATATACTCTTCCCTCCTTGCATCACTTCTACTTTGTAAAAACTTCTCATATGCTAACTTTTTCTCCCTTACTACTCTCTTTACATCATCATTCCACCAATCGCTCCTCTTCCCTCCTGCACCCACTTTCCTGTAACCACAAACTTCTGCTGAACACTCTAACACTACATTTTTAAAACCTACCCCATACCTCTTCGACCCCATTGCCTATGCTCTCATTAGCCCATCTATCCTCCAATAGCTGTTTATATCTTACCCTAACTGCCTCCTCTTTTAGTTTATAAACCTTCACCTCTCTCTTCCCTGATGCTTCTATTCTCCTTGTATCCCATCTACCTTTTACTCTCAGTGTAGCTACAACTAGAAAGTGATCTGATATATCTGTGGCCCCTCTATAAACATGTACATCCTGAAGTCTACTCAACAGTCTTTTATCTACCAATACATAATCCAACAAACTACTGTCATTTCGCCCTACATCATATCGTGTTACTTATTTATCCTCTTTTTCTTAAAATATGTATTACCTATAACTAAACCCCTTTCTATACAAAGTTCAATCAAAGGGCTCCCATTATCATTTACACCTGGCACCCCAAACTTACCTACCACACCCTCTCTAAAAGTTTCTCCTACTTTAGCATTCAAGTCCCCTACCACAATTACTCTCTCACTTGGTTCAAAGGCTCCTATACATTCACTTAACATCTCCCAAAATCTCTCTCTCTCCTCTGCATTCCTCTCTTCTCCAGGTGCATACACGCTTATTATGACCCACTTCTCGCATCCAACCTTTACTTTAATCCACATAATTCTTGAATTTACACATTCATATTCTCTTTTCTCCTTCCATAACTGATCATTTAACATTACTGCTACCCTTCCTTTGCTCTAACTCTCTCAGATACTCCAGATTTAATCCCATTTATTTCCCCCCACTGAAACTCTCCTACCCCCTTCAGCTTTGTTTCGCTTTGGGCCAGGACATCCAACTTCTTTTCATTCATAACATCAGCAATCATCTGTTTCTTGTCATCCGCACTACATCCACGCACATTTAAGCAACCCAGTTTTATAAAGTTTTTCTTCTTCTCTTTTTTAGTAATTGTATACAGGAGAAGGGGTTACTAGCCCATTGCTCCCGGCATTTTAGTCGCCTCATACGACACGCATGGCTTACGGAGGAAAGATTCTTTTCCACTTCCCCATGGACAATAGAAGAAATAAAAAAGAACAAGAGCTATTTAGAAAAAGGAGAAAAACCTAGATGTATGTATATATATATATGCATGTGCGTGTCTGTGAAGTGTGACCAAAGTGTAAGTAGGAGTAGCAAGATATCCCTGTTATCTTAGCGTGTTTATGAGACAGAAAAAGAAACCAGCATTACATATATGAGTCAAATTAGACTATTTGAATGCTAAGTTTAATATAAATTGTCTGATGATAACATTATTAAATGCAATGAAAATTTTAAGCAACAAAATTACATTATACACTAAAAAAGCAATGTTAATGTGAATAGTAATACAGGTTGGCCATCACTAATCTGGCACTAATTTTGGCTAGCATAATTTCAAATTTCCAGGGCTGCAACACCAACCTGATGCTACTGTTTGGTGGGGTTACTTGCTGCATAAGTCATTCCAATTTCTTTTTCCCCATTTATTGTTATAACCTGCTCACTTTTAGCCCTAGCCATGGTTCCAATGAATAAAAGAAATGCTTCTCACTGTGTAAAGCACCTACACCGTACATTGGCCATAAAAGATAAAGTGGCTTTGAAGACACTGTTGGTCGCCATGAGCTCAGCTCACTCAGATAAGCTGTGATCGGTAAATTTGGGCCTACATATGAGAGAACAGGTCTGTGTGATAAATGTGAACAATGTAAAAAAAAATCCTGCAGCATGTAGCGCATAATGAAAAAAATAGGCAACTGTGCTTTTGGTGTAAAAGAGCGATTTTGCGGTACATTTTCATATGGTATTTATGGTTGTATTCTCGTTTTCTTGGTCTCATTTGATAGAATGGAAGATTTATTACAGAAATAGATATAATTTTGATTAGTTTCACGCCAGAAAGTACTTTAAAATTAAGCTCAAATTAGTGGAAATGTTCGATTTTTGCCGATGTTCAAGAGTAAACAAATGACATCACATTCCAATGCATGTCCAACTGGTCAGTTTAATATGCAGTCACGAATGGGTTGACATTATTTATACAATTATTACAATTAATGCAGTAGCCTGCATAACAGTAAATCTTCTATTTTTTTGTGAATAAAAATTCAAAATGGAAAGCAAGTGTAATATGAGAGAGACCTGGAGACATAACTAACGAACAGAGAAAATGTTATTTTAGTGCTAGGAATGTCTGCATTGTTTATTCTGGACCCTATTTTGAAATTGGCATCTCTTGAAATTCATGTGAAATTGGCCAAATTACCAATTTCTGACCACTTTATTGGGTAGTTGAAATAGGTAAATAGGCAGTTTCTTGTACTCAGTCGACAGATAGAAGGAATACTAGCGAAAAAGCTATGAGTTTGGTAGACTGGAACAATGGAATGTGCCAAAAATAGGGCATAAAGTGGTGGAAATCACCGATGCGTAAATATCGCCGTTGGGCAAGTGTATTCTAACCTAACCACTCTGTAATCCAGCAAAATCACTAATGTGGCAACCTACAGATCCTGATGATGCCAGATTAGTGATGGCCAACCTGTGCAACTTGGTTTTAACACTTTTTGTTATAATAATTAAAATCTTGAATAATTATGTACTATACTTAGCTTTATATATACAGTATACAGGCATACCTTGCTAATACGGCATTTTGCTTTAGTGCTTCATTAATACGGTGCTTTTCAATGATATTCATTTTTATTATATTCAATGGTGACATGCACATCAGCTGAATGTAGTATTTTAATTATTTAGATTTTTGCATAATTTTTTTAGGTATAGTGCTATTGCACTTAATAAATGATAGTATGAATATGCTTTTAGGCTGTCATATGCACTGAAAAAAAATATATATATAAAAGGCCTGTGATTCACTTTAAGGCAGTGGTCTGGCCCCTAACCCATCATATTAGCAAGGTATGACTGTAATGTATTTTATCTGGCAACAAATAGTCAGCACACCCTGGAGGTTTTACGGTCGAGGTAGAACTGATGCTGAGCGATCGCCATGGACCAGATTGCCTTGCAGAGAGCCTGGGTCTCTGCAAACCAAACGTAAACACTAACGTTGCCAGGTCCAAATGTCCTTCTTGACACTGATACTCTGCAAGATAAATTATAAGGTTAAGGGCATCAGAAATTCATTGCGGCCACCATCACCAAAAAATCAAGTTCAACTGGCTTATCATTTTTTACATGCACTATTAATAACTATCTAGACAAATATAATTATATGCTATGTAAACATTATACAAGAGAGCAAAAACAATGCTCAGTCTGTGTTTCAAACAACTAAAGCTATAATACAATAAATGCTTAATCATAAATACCAGTAGTCATAAGGACTTCACTGAACACAATCAATAAAACCTGTATGTAAACATATCACCTATTTAATAAATTCTATATTTTACTTCAGAAAGTCTGATCAGATAATATTTCAGTACTGAGGACCATTACAATTCAGTGTAAGTGAAATGAATTACATATGTGCAGATTTTTTCCAAATGCACAGGTACTTAAGTGCCACTTAAAAACTAAAAGCATAAAAGAGAAAAACTCACTGTGTGGTAGCCTCAGTGATGGCTGCTAGTAGATCATCATGATGATCACGCGAGTCTTCAATTGCATCCTCGTAGAGGTTAAACGAACTCAGGGTGTGCACCACTCTACTCGGACAAGACAACACCATGCATCACACCACCATGCCAACGACACAACTTAAACACTAACTCACCAACTGGCTGCAGGCCACTTAGCTGTGTTCACAGTTAGCATAACAGCATTCAAGATTCAGTGGAAATTTACAGATATTTAAATGAAGCTTCAGCAGCATTAAGTTGTTGTATGTTCGTTGTGATAAAAACGCAACATTTCAACAACTACAGTAGGTATTAATAGCTCAAGCTATGGTTAAAATATCCAGAAATTGGACTTAATACTAAGCTTTATGAAACTAATCTAAATCAAGGAAACACTTGATAATTAGAAAAGAAATGTAGTCATGGAATTTTCCAACTGCCACACTATCATTCAATTTAAGAAAAATTGAAATCTACCCCCTCACCAATTTTATTTATGTTAGTAGTGGAAGTTACTTTGAACCCTCATATTCACTAAATATAACTACATAAAACTGTTGTTTATAGGATTTATATCATGAGTACTACAGTAATACTGCATTAGTAATGCTCACTGTAACTTATACTTGTGCATCTTTCTCATAACTAATAATAAATGAAATTTTATATGATCAATACTATCAGGTAAAAAAAATAATACATTACAAGTAGCAAAATGGAGTAATGGAGTACTGTACCCATTGTAATCCCCCCCCCTCCCTTTTTGAGAAGCTCTCTACCTAGCAGAGGATGCAATAACAGTAAGAAGTGGGAGAGGGAACTTGTGTTGCCCTCAGTCTCACATAAATTGAAAGTATTCACAAGAACTTTAGTTACAGAATTCTCTCTCCCATTTTCCACGCAGGCAGTGGATAAAACAAGCTTATTTGTAAAATCTGTAAACTATAACTTTCTAGGGCTAATTTGAACATTTATATATGGAAAAAATTTAGCAAAAGGACTTAAAGTAATTATTAACTGTCAGTAAATTAGATGCAATTTATCAATTAGTAGACATAAAGAGTATTTAGTTTTTTTTTTTTTTGGTACAAGTATTAATAAAAAACATTTAAAACAATTAATCATTCCTTAAGATAGAGAATACGAGTGACAATTGTAAAGAAGTACTTTATGTTACTTTAATATGAAGAGGAATAATGGTACATTGTACAAGCAAGATATCTTGCACTGAAATGAATCTTCATACTTGAGATAGAGGAAGACACTAGTGCAGCTCTTCTAGCGATAAAATAGAAACTGTTCACAGGACAAATTCCAAGAGCTTGTAAAAGGCAGCTCCAGAAAAATACATCATGAAGGCCAATAAATGCTGCACCTAACTGCTTGAAAAAAATGTGTGTGTAGAGTATTTAAACAATTATATGACAAGAGGATGGCAAGGAAAGGGATTCGGCAGCAGGTAGAAAAGCTAAGACAGGCACAGCAGCAGTAAGTCTGCTCAACATTCTCACACACTGCCAAGTAGCCAAGGCAGCCAGGTCATACTTCTTGGGGGGAGTCAGTGAGTCTTCCAGTGTTCAAAATTAGTAATGAATTGATACTAATTACCATTTTAAGTATCAACTACATTCCTAACTAATTCATTCTATTTAAAATCAACATATATACACAAAGACCTTACCTCTTTGGATCATGAACTTCTATTGAAAATTTTCTTTCTCGAAAGTACAGGTTTTCCAGTTGTTTCCAGAGGAAGACACGTCTAGGTTTTCTCTTGTCAAGGAAATCGTACTGTGCAATGCCGTTATGACTGAGGCCAAGGTACCACGGGAGGTTGGACCTGTCTCGCACCTCGTAGTAGTGGACACCGTAGGTAGGAAGTCTCTCCACCAGGCTCATATACCTTAAAACAAATATTTCCACATTAAAACCTCTTAACTATACACAAATAACCATTTATAGTCAGTGTGACTTTGTAAATATCCAAGTCAGACCGAAATGTCATCGTAAGCTTGTTTCTCCTATGTGCAGGTTATGTGTGTATTGTTCCAGTCACAGTATTGTGCCTTTCTGTTCTTTAACCTCTCAGCTGTTAAGTTATACATGTAGTAGATGTAAAAATTGACAGTAATGAACAAGATATATTCTATATGTATAAACAGATAAGGCAGGTAGACAGTGTGTTGAATTCAAGACCTATTGACAATTTGGGGCCTGGTCTAGGACCAGGCTTGGCGAAGAGCAGTGACCCACAGTTCTGCCCACAGGTAACCATGAAGATCATTAAGGAGAAAGTAAAAGCTCATTTTTTTATAAAAAAAATGGATATGCTAATGTGAGGGAAGGGGAAAGGAGAAAGTGGAATTTGCAGAGTGCTGGAATGCAAATACTACTAAGTCCTCCATACTATCATCATACAACAAAAAAAATTGCACTACCAATCATACAACTCACATACAGGTATTAAGAAAAATTAAACTAAAACCACCCAAGCTGTCATTAAAATAAATACAGCACTGTATTGAACCCTAATAAGTAAAAATGTTGTGCTAAATTAAAACACATCAATTAGAAACATACAAACAACTCAGCACTGCAGGTTTACTGACCCATTGTATGGCTAGGCAGGTCCAATTCATTCACCCATCCAACCTATATTTAAAGCTACCTAAAATTTTAGCTTCACTGACACTACTGAGAGTTTATTCCACTCATCTACAATTCTACTGCCAAACCAGTACTTCACTACAGTCTTTCTTAATCTAAATTTGTACAACTTGAATGCACTGCTGTAAGCCCTGTCTTAGATATTTTAAGCACGTTATTTATAGCCTTTTATTTATCCTCATTTTCCGTTTGTACATTTCAATTATATCCACTATAATTCTACATATTCTGTACTTCAATCATGCTGAAAGATTCAAGTAAAATGTCACCAAAGTCTCAAAAGACATTTTAGTCATTATACATCTCAATTATTTTCAAAGTGTATGTCATTAAACTGTGCCACATTTAACAAGACTCTCAAGCAGCAATCTCTGCAAGCAAGTGACCATGAACAAGACGAGTGCCTAATCTCCAATCTTCAAATAATTTTCTTAACAATTCCTCTGAGATGAAGAGGGACAAACACCCACATCCTACCAAACCCTATAAAGGTTCCTACTTGTCTGGAGGGTCTATCGGGAATGCCATTTTTTTTATTACACTGCTCCAATCTTGACCTAGGAAGTCACCAAGGTGAAAGCCAGCATTAGAGAACTTTGCCTATGCATCTATCTGTCCATTACCTGGGAGCCCAGCATGCCTCATGCACCAACAAGACTACTTCCTTGTGCCCAGTGTAGACAGGACTATCACTGCTGAATTTTCTAGGCCACATTATGAAGGAGCATAACCTGGGAGTCAGAATAAACCATGAACAAGCTCCACTATAACCAACAATCATGAACAGAGCAGCAATATGGGCACTGAGTTTAGAGAAAGAGGGAACACAAAAAAATAGGAAAGGAAATAAAAGACTGAGTGGAAGGTAGGGGAACAAGATTACATTTATATAAACTTGTGAACAGTAAGCAAATTACAATTCTAAAAAAGAAAAAAATGGAATTCCACAATAAACAAGGTTAGAAACATTTTAAAGGGTGAGTATCCTTATACAGAGTACCATTGCCTATGGTGTACCATGATATGGTAAATGCTGACAACTATCAAAGAATATTTTTGCAGAAGTGCAACAAATATGCTTGCTGGGAGAGAACATTAAGCTTGGTTTCTAACAGCAGATCGTAGCCATCATAAATGACTCTAAAAGGTGGCAGTTTGCTCATCATAAATTAGGGCAAAATGAAAACACTTCCTGAATAATTCATACACATAGATCACTATATGATTCAGCATTCAAATCCAGTGTTTCTCTCTTTAAATGTGACAGTCTTTTACAAGTGTAACTTTTAACTACAATATTTAATACTACAATCTCCTTCCTACCTTGCCTGCTTTCCACACCTCTCACACCCCTTTCACCTCATACTATCTCTATATATATTCTTCAATAAATGGTCATAAGGATGACTGCACACCTTACATTCAGTCTGATCATCTATGTACTTGGAGCCAAGTCTTAAAAGATGTCTGATACAACAGTGTATCAAGCATTAGAAATAATGTTAGGAGAGGATTAAATTTAACTAAAGTGTGATATGATGCTAAAAAGTGTAACGAGACCGACCTTATTGATGAAGAACGCAAGTGCATCAAGCACTTAGGACATCTTTATTGGATACGTTTTGGTCCTGAGACCTTGGTCACTCTAAATGGTCATTTGCCCTTTTATCCATAAATATGATATGAATTCAAGGCAAGGCTGAATAAGTAGAACTGTGACTATCATAATGTGAAGGAAGATAAGAACATTTATGGAACAACTTGTAATGACAACAATAACAGTCACTCAGTTTGTTGTCATTACAAGTTGTTCCATAAGTGTTCTTATCTACCTTCACATTATGATAGTCACAGTCACTTATTAAGCCTTGCCTTGAATTCATATCATATTTATGGATAAAAGGGCAAATGACCATTTGGAGTGACCAATATCTCAGGACCAAAACGTATCCAATAAAGATGTCCTAAGTGCATGATGCACTTGCGTTCTTCATCAATAAGGTCGGTCTCGTTACACTTTCTAGCATCATATCACACTTTAGTTAAATTTAATCCTCTCCTAACATTGTTTCTAATGCTTGATACACTGCTGTATCAGACATCTTTCAAGGTATTTTCTTTGGCTCTGACACCCACAAGAATACACAGATAATGCTACATGTAGGCCTAAAATGTCTTATATAATTAATTATTGGTAAGAGTACAGGCAATATGTTGGGTATGGCTTTGTCAAGACAATACATAATACAATTCAAACTACCTCCAGATACCCAATACAACTGTATATATACAATAGATACAAATGCCAAAAAAGAGATACTCACTGGAGAATAGCCTGGCCCCTGGTGTAGCCCAGTAGCGTCCTGTGCTCCTCTGCCACCCGCTCCTCACTGAAACACAACATAACAGTGAAGCAATCATGCAATAGTGAAGCAAATCATGTGTAGTCCGGGTCTACTGGCTCAGCCTGCACAATGACCTACTCACACATGTACCACTTGTGCATTTATCCAACCCACCCATCTTTAACTCCATAGTACATTTGCTTCAATGTTCCAATTTTACCAAGCCAAGGCTTTCCTCTATCCTTTCTAAATCTAGAGTTATCCAATGATAGAGTCGGCAATATCCCTTGTGCTTAATGTAATATGTGTAGTTAATGTAGACATTTATCTTCATAACAGAAGAGCCCAGTTATGGGCCAGGCTCGCCTGGTGCTTACCTGGACAACCAGGCTGTTGCTGCTGGAGGCCTGCTGCCCCACATATCCATCACAGCCTGGTTGATCTGGCACTTGGTGAAGATACTTGTCAAGAAGCAACTGGACAAGTATCTTCACCAGGTGCCAGATCAACCAGGCTGTGATGGATATGTGGGGCAGCGGGCCTCCAGCAGCAACAGCCTGGATGATCAGGCAAGCACGAGATGAGCCTGGCCCATGGCCAGGTTCAGAGAGTAGAGAAACTCTCGAAACTCTTCAAAGGTCAAAGGTACAAAGGGTAATAACAACATGTAGAAGAAAAGAAATAGTAGGAGAGAAGGGAGGAAATCTGGATTATATATTCAATACATATCTTGGATAAAAAAAAAAAGTAAATTCATTGTTGCGTTAGAAACTTGACATTTTAAAACTACATTATATATATATATTTATATATATATTTAATATATATATAATATATATATATATTTAATATATATATATATATATATATATTTAATATATATATATATATATATATATATATATATATATATATATATATATATATATATATATATATATATATACGTATATATACAGTGGACCCCCGCATAACGATCACCTCCGAATGCGACCAATTATGTAAGCGTATTTATGTAAGTGCGTTTGTAAGTGTATGTTTGGGGATCTGAAATGGACTAATCTATTTCACAATATTCCCTATGGGAACAAATTCGGTCAGTACTGGCACCTGAACATACTTCTGGAGTGAAAAAATATCGTTAACTGGGGGTCCACTGTATATATATATATATACACATACACTCACACTAAGCCTGGCAACAACCAGTTTGACCATCACATCACACACTATTCATAGTAAGTAAAGCCCACTAAATTTAGAGAGGGAAGGAGGGGGGGGGGGTATGGAAGACACACTAGATATAAAATTAGACACGGTTTCTATCCTGGACTATTATCAAGCATAGTTTCACCTCCAATTTGCAGCTATGAAACTTTACTGCAAAGTTCACTCTCACTCCCCCACCCACAATATTCTCCTCCACAACAATACCTACTTAATTTGATTAATCCTCAACAAGTGTGAGGAGAAGGGAAAGCTAAGACGGGTTTCTTCACACCAAGACTTCCACTTAAGGCAAAAAACTCAATTCTTAGGAGAAAACTACTTAAGTAACACCCACAAAACTTTCAGTACTACGTACAAAAAAAAATTAACAAGTAAAAATATTTATATTTTAGTGAGACCTATAAAAATATATTTTAGCAAGACCTATAAAAATATATTTTAGTAAGACCTATAAAAATATATTTTATTAAGACCTATAAAAATATATTTTAGCAAGACCTTTAAAAATATGTTTTAGTAATAAAAGTATATTTTAAGAATACCTACAAAAATATTTTTTTTAATACTACGTATAAAACGAGTGTCAAAATTAACAAGAGGCAGATTATACACACCGAAAGATATCTTCAAAATACAGATACACAGGTAATCACTATCTTAAGAGGTTGATGTATTCTTGTACTATAGTTAGTTCAGTGGCACTGTGGCCCACTGTGAATCTTGTAGTCCATAATATTTAAATCAACTTTTCTAAGCTGAATCATCAGCTATATTTAAGCATCTATAACGCATGACTCTTCAAAGTCAAAACTCAGAGTACATAACCCCCACTGCACGTCAACAACAATGTAATATTCCAAGAATAACAATCATTGCTATCACAACATTCCCCTTTTTAGGATCAAGCTTCATTACCTATTATTCCCCATACAGACTTAGTCCTTCCTGTAAATAATAATAATACTAATACATGTAATGTCATGGGAAGTGAGAAGCAGGTTTCCCTAGATACCCCTCCATCCCCACTAAACATACCAGCAGCTGCACCCTGGGTCAGACAGGTACTAATGACACTATTTCACCTGGGGAGGAAAGGCGACCCCTACCACTCCACACAATCACACCACCAGTCTACACACCATGGAACAACCTTCATCACTACCGACACCACAATCACACCATTACACACCGTGGTACAACTTGCACCACAACCAACACCACACACCATGGTACAAACTTCACCACTACCAACACCACACAATCACACCACCAGTACATCTTATTAAGGAATCGTTCAGGACCCTGTACACCGTGTACGTTAGGCCCATATTGGAGTATGCGGCACCAGTTTGGAACTCACACCTAGCCAAGCACGTAAAGAAACTAGAGAAGGTGCAAAGGTTTGCAACAAGACTAGTCCCAGAGCTAAGAGGTATGTCCTACGAGGAGAGGTTAAGGGAAATCGACCTGACGACACTGGAAGACAGGAGAGATAGGGGGGACATGATAACGGCATACAAAATACACTGAGAGGAATTGACAAGGTGGGCAAAGACAGGATGTTCCAGAAATGGGACACAGCAACAAGGGGACACAGTTGGAAGTTGAAGACACAGATAAATCACAGGGATGTTAGGAAGTATTTCTTCAGCCACAGAGTAGTCAGGAAGTATTTCTTCAGCCACAGAGTAGTCAGGAAGTGGAACAGTTTGGGAAGCGATGTAGTGGAGGCAGGATCCATACATAGCTTTAAGCAGAGGTATGATAAAGCTCACGGTTCAGGGAGAGTGACCTGGTCGCCACCAGTGAAGAGGCGGGGCCAGGAGCTAGGACTCGACCCCTGCAACCTCAACTAGGTGAGTACACACCGTGGTACAACCTTCACCACTACCAACACCACACAATCACACCACCAGTGCAAACCATGGCACAACCTTCACCACTATCAACACCACACAATCACACTACCAGTACACACCATGGTACAACCTTCACCACTATCAACACCACACAATCACACCACCAGTACACGTCATGGTACAACCGTCACCACTATCAACACCACACAATCACACCACCAGTACACACCATGGTACAATCTTCACCACTACCGACACCACACAATCACACCACCAGTACACGTCATGGTACAACCTTCACCACTATCAACACCACACAGTCACACCACCAGTACACGTCATGGTACAACCTTCACCACTATCAACACCACACAATCACACTACCAGTACACGTCATGGTACAACCTTCACCACTATCAACACCACACAATCACACCACCAGTACACACCATGGTACAACCTTCACCACTATCAACATCACACAATCACACCACCAGTACACACCATGGTACAACCTTCACCACTATCAACACCACACAATCACACTACCAGTACACGTCATGGTACAACCTTCACCACTATCAACACCACACAATCACACCACCAGTACACGTCATGGTACAACCTTCGCCACTATCAACACCACACAATCACACTACCAATACACGTCATAGTACAACCTTCCCCACTACCGACACCACACGATCACACCACCAGTACATACCGGGCTACAACCTTCACCACACAATCACACAAAAAGAAAACTTTCAGCCGCCATTTTCAATGGTCTATCGGAGGTTGATTTATTAGCTCTGGTTGGCAAAAGATTACGTCAAAGCGGAGAGTATTTGGAGTTTAACAGAAAATAAATCTGGCTGTTAAATATAGACACCAGACTCGACTAGTATTATTGTAGCTGGTGAAATTTCAGAAGTGAAGTTTCCACCACCGTGTCATGAGGAAGTCTGACATTACGACGTTAAATGTCTATTGGTAACAATAAAAATGATAATATATAAAATCGTACTACTAACAATATTATTATATTGCTAGTAGTACTTGTAGTCGTAGTACTAACTAGTAGCAGTACTAACGAAATACTACTACACTAGCATTAATGGAAGAAGCAGAAGCAGCAGCAAGAAAATAGTGTATTAGTGGCCTCCTCAGCAAGTGAGAGGCAATGTCTGCATCTTTGACAGACCCACATTCAAGACTATAATACTTTGCAAAGCAAAATGAATACCCGAGTAAAACCTATTTAGATACTACCGAAAAGGCAGACAAGATGGGGGAAACTTTGGTTTGTAGAAAGGTTGCTAATCTGCACAGCCAGTTACTGAACACCAGCAACGATGTAGTCAGTTTCCTACTGCAAATGTTGAAAACGCAAATTTATTCTTCTTGTATAAACAACGAGATACTATTTCCCAACATCATGTACTGAAAAATCAAACAATGCCTTGAAAATATCTCAAACCTGGACTAAACATCATCCTTCTGCTTGATGATTTCAATTCAAGACGCCAAAAGTGAGAGAACATAGCACATACATAATAGCAGAGAAAAGTCCCAGGGGGCAGTTTGGATAACAAGTCACGTGCAAATTAGTTTAAAGTCGGCAAACAATGGAACCGACCAGATTACAAAATACCCTTCACAAGGGACGGCCACAGAATTTTTCTAGTGGGGATCTGGATGGAAGGAGGGCTACGAGCTTTGGTTTAAAGCTGCGCTATTTATTTTTATTTGAGAAGGGGGCGTTGAGGAAAGGGAATTTGGGGGCTACAGCCCCAAGGCGCCCCCCTTCTCCTGACCTTGTATTCACAAACAATGAGGATCTGGTGCGGAATATATCTGTGTCGAACAAAACAAACTGACCACAAACTAACTGAAAGCTCAGACCTGAATACCTGTGGTATTCCTGTAACTAATTTCGAGTTTTTTCCTACCCTCGCAGCCCAGCCTATGGCCAGGCTTTTCTGTTAATTGCTTGTTCAACTATGCTTCTGCAGTTAGTAGCCAGCTGACACACAGCCTGGTCGATCTGGGATTTGACAAAGGCAGTGATCCAGTTTCTTTTAAACTTAAGCAAAAAAAGTCATATGACTGTATGCACCAAACTGAAAAGCAAATACATTAACTGGGACTAAATAAACTATGACCTTACTGAAATACGCTGGTAAGATAGTATGACCAATTGGGAAAAACAAGAGAAAAGGAAAGTTAGAAATGCTTCCTCTACAGGCAGAGACTAACAATAACCTAACTTCTCAAAAATTTGAGACCCGAAAACAAAAAGAAACACTGGTTAGACAAATAGAAAACACTGAGCTCAAACTAAATACATCATGTAGAGCCCAGAAGAGACAGAAAGCTAAAAAGCAATTAATGAAATTGAAAGAAACGCAAAATACTTTTTTTTTTTTGTATGCTGAAACCAAAGCAAAAAAAAAATCTAGTATCGGACCCTTGTTTAAAGATGACGACAAAGAAATGAGCGTAACAATATTACTGTGTTCAGTGAGCTATTAACCAGACTTAAAATTGACAACCAAAATTAAATTTTCATGAGCGAAGCTCAAAATTCCGCCGATATGGCCAAAATTTCTGACAAGACAAAACTACCCTGTCCTGGACTCGTGACACCATATTCAGCAACTCGATATATCTTTGGTTAGGCCTTATTTAGACTAGGTACTACACCATGCACTACACCAGGTACTGCAACAGGTACCACAGTTCTGATCACCGTATTACAGAATGGACAGCAGAGGGCAGCAAGGGACTAGCTCCCTTAAGGTTTACTATACTAATAGCAGGAGTGTAAGAAATAAGATAGATGAGCTAAGATTAATTGCAAGTGCAGGAAACATAGATATTATTGCTATAACAGAGACCTGGCTCAATCTGAAAGATATAGAGATGCCCTCTGAATGTCACATACAAGGCTATAAATTATTCCACACTGACAGGGTCAACAGGAAAGGTGGTGGAGTAGCGATGTATGTCAGAGACAATTTAAATTGTTGTTAGACAAGATATTAAATTAGAAGCGTCAGCCACTGAATCTGTTTGGTTACAGCTTCTCGAGGGCCGAGAAAAACTAATTTTGGGTGTGATTTACAGGGCCCCAAATCTTGATAGGGAGTGCAGTAAACTTCTATGGGACGAAATTCGTAAGGCATCTACATACGAAAATGTTGTGCTAATGGGAGATTTCAACTATAGACAGATTGACTGGAGCAATTTGACAGGAATTTTAGTCAGGTGACTTTCTTGATACGATCCAGGATTGTTTTTTAAAACAGTTTGTGACAGAGCCAACTAGGGGAAATAACCTCCTTGACTTGGTTCTTGCCAGTAGGGAAACACTAATTAATAATCTTGAGGTTAATGATGAGCTTGGGGAAAGTGATCACAAATCACTCAGTTTTAATATATCATGGAATTCCCCTAATAATGGCAATCAAGTCTCCGTCCCTGACTTTCGCTTGGCTGATTTCATAGGACTGAAAAATTACTTAGGTGGGCTGAACTGGAATGACCTGACTAAGGGTCAGGTAGGTGGTGATGGTTGCCGATATGATGCTTTCCAGGGCATAGTTCTAGCTGCTCAGTCAAATTATGTTCCAAATAGGGAAATCAGATCAAACAAAAATGATCCTAACTGGATGAACAATAGATTAAAATATCTGATTGGTCAAAAGAGAGGCATATATAGGCAAATCAAAAGAGGAGAGAGGCAATTAAGAAATCGATATATTCAGTTAGAGAGAGAAATAAAAAAGGGAATTAGAAAAGCAAAAAGAGATTATGAGGTTAAAGTTGCAAGAGAATCGAAGACTAACCCAAAAGGTTTCTTTCAGGTATACAGAAGTAAGATCAGGGACAAGATAGGCCCACTCAAAAGTTCCTCGGGTCAGCTCACTGACAGTGATAAAGAAATGTGTAGAATTTTTAACACATACTTCCTCTCAGTTTTTACACAGGATACCAGCGATATTCCAGTAATGATAAATTATGTAGAACAGGACGATAATAAACTGTGCACGATTAGGGTCACAAGTGACATGGTCCTTAGGCAAATAGATAAATTAAAACCTAACAAATCCCCAGGCCCTGATGAACTGTATGCAAGAGTTCTAAAGGAATGTAAAGAGGAGCTTAGCACACCTTTGGCTAATCTTTTCAACATATCACTACAAACTGGCATGGTGCCAGATAAGTGGAAAATGGCAAAT